TGTATTGAGAGACGCAAATAGATTACCAGAAACTAAGGAAGAAGCAGCAATATCTCAGTATGAGACATACGTGGACGAGTTGTCGGAATCGAGAACGTTCGCACTCATGAACCAACTGCAATCAGCTGCGAATCTTCGAGCCGTAGAAGAGTCCATTATCGAATCGACAATGAACATAGAACAAAGTACGGCTGCGCAACTCGCTCAACAGAATGTCGCATTGAAGAGCAAAGAAGCGCAAGAGAGGAAGTTCCAAATTGAAATGACTAAATCGGAGAGAACATTCGAGAAGGAAGATGATCTGCAGATTTCGGAAAGCATAAACACTGAATCGTTGAAGGAACTTGCTGCAGGACAATTCCGTGAATTCGGAGACGAACAGACGCAAATCTGCACACTCTTCGGTAAGATTGTGCAGAAGAAGTTTGAGTCTGATGGGTGTGACTACTGGCATCCGATAGCGAGAAGATGGCAAGAACGAGTTACTACTAAAGCTGCGGGAGATGAAAAGATGGAGGTCACATCGACGTTGGAGAGGAGTGCTCCCACAGAATTGGTTCAAAAGACTATTAGAGCAGCTAACGACAGTAAGGCGGAGCTGAAAGACCTGAAAGCAACGACCTCTGAAGCAGCGACTTTCACGACGTCATACTCGAAATCAGGAATAAGAGAAACTGCGGCAATCAAACTTCGTGCAAGATCGAAGGAACGAGCCGAGAAGAAGCTACAAGAACAGGAGTGGAATCTCCAATCAACAGCATCTGAATGGGAGACGATCCTGAATGAACTGGAAGCTGAGATTACGCAAGCCGAATCGCTTCAACAAAGCTTTAGCTTGTACACCAAGGCTTCTGCGGTGGAAGCTACCACAAAAGAAGAACAAATTTCCAAAGCGGAGAGTTCCTTTGATGTCGCGCGTTCGTTGGCTACCGTACCTATAACCAAGGAGATGAAGACATTCTCAATTGACCAAGAGGAGAAAACTCTTCGCTTCGACAGTTTTGCTCAGGATTTGGCCGAAATCGAGCAGATTGTTGATGAGATCAACCGCGAACACGAGGTTGTGCGAACATTCAGAGAGTACAGCCAGGAGAAGACCGACAGTGGCATCGCACTCATCAGGAGAACTATCCCAAGAACGAAGGAGTCCTGTACACATGTGATCAGCGTTTCCACTTCGCTCCAGCAAAAGTTTGAAACCTCAGCGGCTGGTGATATCCTTACCGATGCTGTGGTGGAACTTACCCTCCCCACTTCCTCCCTCAGTGCCGAAATAATCCCAAAGATACCCAACAAGGAGGAAGTCAGCTTGATGACCAGTAGCGCCACCGAAGAAATGATCAGCACCAGCGCCAACTACAGCAAGTGCTCAGACACATCTTCGGCAGCGATGTCCAAACAACCCTACTTCATACGTGAGAAGAGCACTGAGCGCCTGAAGGAGACGGAAGCCGGAGCTGTGGACATCCTTACGAAATGGGAAGGAGTAGAGAGAGATCTTGAGGCTGAAGTGCTTCTATCGAAGAAGATGACAGTCAAGTCCAGCTTGGCGACGTTCGAGACCTCTGAGCAGGTGGAGACCCTTATGAAGGCTATGATAATACCGGAGGCATCTATGCAAGCCGTTACAATAAGAAGGATTGTTCCCCTAGCAAGATTATCTATCGACTTGAAGGTTGAGTCATCTGTAGTGGGTGTAGAATTGGAAGGTAAACCCACTCCCTTGCTCGCAAGCGAAGTAACTCTGGCTGAAAAGGTGCTCAGAAAGAAAACTTGGAGATTGAGGGAGAGCGGTGACGTGAAATTCAACGCCGTTATTAATCTGCACAAATTTGAATTACAAAAACCCACACAGAAAAGAGAGATTTGCTTGCCAGAGAAGATCTGCATTTCAGCCGCTCCCGTCTACATCAAAGCAGATGCTGTGGAGTCCGATGTAGTGTGGACAGACCATCACTTGCTCAAGACCCCCGAGCAGTACACGGTTGGGAAGAAGGTCGTTGCTGCCAATTCCGCGCCAGAAATGAGAATGAAGACGGAGGAAAGCGGAGATGAAAAGGTGCGATTGGCTGTGGAGCTGCTTGGAACGAAAGGAGGTGTTGAAGTCAGCGATGTCGACTGGCCTCTGCCTAACAAGGGTGAAACGGTTGAATTCGAGACGGAGGAGTTCGGTGATGAACATGCTGTGCTGTACGGACAGATTAACAACAAGCAGATTGCCTACGATGATGTCGATCTTACCAGATCTGTTCCTAGAAGCGACACGCTTTCTCTGAAGACCCTCGAAAGCAAAGAAGAGAATATGGACATCTTGAGCGAGTTCAACATTCGCCCAGAAATGGAAAAACTCGATAAACTGATTCAAATCGCCGTCAAAGGAGACAACACCACTCTGAAGTGCCTAGAAAGCGGAGATGAAACCATAGCTCTAGGGCTTGCGTACGACACCCCACATCAAGCTGAACAGACCTTGAACAAATGGACAGACAAGCGTTTTGGTGGCGATTACTATCTATACACCAAAACACCTATGTTTGAAGACCGTATGGCAACAATGGCGCTGTCCCAGAAAGTTCAACTGGAGAACGTTCACCACAAACAGATCCAGAGGGTGAAGTCAGAAATCAACCTCAGAGTGACCGCATCCACCACGGAAAACACTACAACCAATCTTCACTATGACAAATCGCTGCAGAAGGAAAAAGCAGACACGATGAGATCTTGCCCGAACCTGGGAGAGCCGTACAAGTGTAGATTCGTGGAGAGTCAAGAAGATTTCGCAAACACATACTACGATTTCACTCTTCCAGTTGCTCCTGGCACAGTTTCCCTAACCCAGAAGGTCCCACTTATGACAGAAGGAGCTAAATTGAGCTGCGAAGCTGCAGAAGATGTACGAATCGAATCTAACCCTGCCCTTGGTAAAGAAGCTCAGTTTGCCGTTGCCTCTAGCCTTGTTAAGGATACCAACAAGATTCAGCCAGCTGTACTCAAAACCAAGGAAAGCACGATGGAAAGCATGAACTTCGCCACAAGCTTCAGCAAATCCGATGAGAAACTGCAGGATTCGCTCATCCACAAAGAGGTTCATCGCGGATCTGACATCACCGTCACCATGAAGGAAAGTCGAGAGGAGAAGCACACTCTGTACCAGAAGTACGAGCAGGAGGCTATGAAGGAAGCTGTCGAGTTGACGAGGTCCGTGGCTTGGTTCGGAGGACGGTTCCTACTCAACACCGACGCTTCGGAAGAGCATGAGATCAGCGCGACGAGGGAAATGGAGAAGGAGCGGGAAGCCGTGGTCCATTGCGAGCAGAAGACTATAATCGCTCACAGGGCCGAGCCCCAACAACTAACCGCCAAAGCTGCCGGAAGCGAGAATGTCAACGTCGAACATGATGGAAAGCGCGAGAGCGCTACCTACACCATTGCTAAGAAGCTGACCGCTTCGAACACAGAAAGCGCTACGATGAGAGTGGAAGAGAGCGCGGAAAATATAGAACACATCTATCCAATCTTTACTAGACCAAACGATAAGTTCGATTTAGATCGGACCATGCAGATCGCCCGGAACGGAGGAGTAGAGACGCTCAACACGAAGGCATCCGAGGACAACGTCGAGACGTTCACTGCCGATCTGGTCAAACCTATCGTCAAGGATCTGCACGCACAACTTAGCACCACAATCGCTAACACCATTGCACCAGCACAACTGCACGCTTATTCAACTAAAACTACAGATTTGGCGGTCAGCCAAAATCTGATGTGTAGCGCCCAGCAGCTGGCAGAGAAGAGGACCTTCACAGCTGCCAATAGAGGCATTCCTGCAGCTTTCACGGCTACGGAAACTACGGAGAAGCATATAACATCCGCAATTATCCTCAGAAGAGAAGATAGCCATCACACCGAATCTATCCTCGTCAAGGACAAGCGCTACGGAGGAGCTGCCGAGTTGTCCACAAAGCACACCACTGAAATCAGCTCAACAATGAGTGGCACTCTGCTTTGCCCCCGTCCTACCAACTTATCTGCTCAGAAAGTTATCATCATCGGAACTAGCATTGGCCCAGTCAAACTCACCACCTACGCTAGCCTTACCGAACAACGCTTGGTGGATACTACCTGGAACCGGGAAAGTGCCCAATACACTATCGCGAAGAAGCTATCCGCACCGAATACCGATCACAGCTCGATCACAGTAAGAGAAGCGGGTGAAAATCACGAAACCACACATTGTGCCTACATTCGCGACAACGAGGAAGAAGAAACAGCCAAAGTCTTGAAGGAAAAGAGAAAGGGCGGCGTGGTGACGCTTGACACGAAGTCAAGCCGCGAATGCAGTTCAGAGTCCGACGACACGCTTGTCGCGACCCGTCTAGCTCTGATACAGGTGGAGAAGACCATAATCATCGCTAACACCATCCCAGGAGTGAGTCTGTCGACATTTGCCACAAGCATGGAAGGTCAGACTGTCTCAGAAGTCTGGAACAAGCCTGAAAGCTATGAGACAAAGGAGATTGTCATTAAGACCGCGAATGTCGGAGAAGCTGTGCGACTTGCGGCTGGAGAAACTGAAGAAACCGTCGAAAATGTGTTTATCCAACTCCAGAAGAAAGATGCTAAGGAAGAAGCAACGCTTACGAAGTTCATAGCCCTGACAGGAGAGCCAAGCAGCTTAGCCAAGGGAGCTTCAGAAGATGCCTACACTGCGGTGGACTCAATCCTTCGAAGCCCAGAAACCTTTGAACTGGATGCATCCATCATCTTTGTCGACAGAAATACTGCAGAAAGCCCTATACTAACCTGCGCATGCTCGACCGAAGCATCCACATCGGGTTTATTCAATCTAAATCGCCTTGGCGATGCTCAGACAGTAAGAGAGGTGAAGGAGGCGGCAAACATTGGCCCAGGGGTAAAATTAGACATGCTAGAATCGACCCTTGTGTCCGAAATCGCTACGATAGTTTTCGAACGCGATCAAAGTACAGCCGTCATTTCAGAGACGATCCAGGTGCCGAGAGAAGGTGGCAAGTTCCTGCTTTCTACTGGTTCGGCCAAAGAAGAGTCGCTCAAGATCGAGGTCGACTGGACCAAACAACGCGAAGATCAGTTGGAGGCGCTCTGGAAGAAGATTCTGCGGAACGAGGAAGGACCGGTAGAGTTGTTTGCCTCGGCAACGGAGGAGAGCGCTGCAGGTGTGAGCAGCCAGCTTCAGAAGAGTGCTCAGACATTCTCTGTCACTACAAAGAGAGATGCTGCCAGGTCCGGGGAGCCAGTTTCCAAATCCGTCCAGGAGTCCAAAATCGTTGAAGAAATCAATAACCTCCAATTCCACAGAGATGAACACCACCTTGAGGTCGATAACATTGTCAAACTCGCTGCCTACGGTGGAATGGCTAACCTCAAGACTGGCTACGCCGAGGAGAACCACACTGCTATCACTCCACAAATGGCAAAGGCTGAAGCACTCGCTTCGCAAGAGACGGTCAGACGCATCCGTCACGAAGAGACTGCGGAGAAGTGGCTGAGCGCCGCTTCGGAAGAGGTCATCGGCTGTGGATTTGCCCTTGATAGCGGTCGTACTTCACAAGAACTCACTGAGATTACCAAGATTGCCTCCAACGATGCTGAACCTATCAAGTTCAGCGCTATGGAAGCTGCAGAAAACTCAATCTCAACCAACTACGCCCTTAGCAGTGAAGCTAAGAGCGTTCTGGAGGAGTCTACACTCAAAGAGGCAAGATATGGCGGTGGAGCAAATCTTCAGTGCGTGGCTGCTAGCGAGATCACTCCCGATACAGTTACGGCCGGCATTAGAAGAGAGGATGAGGTGGAAGAAAAGAGCTGGACTGTGCAGGTAGCCCGACAGGAAGGCTCAACGCTCTCAACTAAGGCTTCATCGGAAGAAAGCATCACTGCCAACAAGGATGTACTCTGCACTCGGGTTGCGATCGAAGAGGTCTCGGCCACTCGTGCCGAAGCCCATATTGGTCAGGCCACTGCGCTCGAGTCGAAGAGCAGCGAGGAGACAATCTTCCACTTGAACTACAGCTACGAGAAGCAACCTACGGAGGTCACCACCACCTTCGTCGGTTCGGAAAAGCGCGACGAGGGCGAGGTGCGCGTAGAGATGGAGGCGGCGCGCGATGAGCGCGTCGACACGCAGGAGTTGTCGGTGGCGCGACGTATGGTCGAGGTCGAGGTGGAAGGCGTCGTCATGCGTGGCGCTCGCGAAACTTCACCGCTTACTTTGCATACAGAATCCGCATCCGAGTCGATCGTTCGCGTCGAACAATCGCTGGAGAAGGTGCATCTGCGTGAAGAAGCGGCCGAGGAACACACCAGGAGCGAGTCCGAGGAGCGCAGGAAGAGGTGGGTACATGTTGTAAGAGGCTAGGTACATGTGACTTTTAACCAAAGAGTAACCTTGAAGACAGTGTCCAGGTATGTGTAAGACATAGTTAATTCTCAGTAATTGCTCTGATTCTGAAGACCTTTATCACAGCTGGCTAAGCGACACCTCTTAAAATTACCCGGCTCAACTTTGAACTTTCGCCCAGACCGTACTCATTTCGTGCGAAGCAGTCAGCGTACCTCTAAAAGATTGTTTGGCGCGTTTGCTATGGTAAGAACGAGAGTTTGAGTTGAATTTCTCGCCAACGAAAGAATCATCTGAATTTTTAGAGGGAAAGTCTAGGCAAATCTGGACCTATGAGGATTTTACGTGGAAAGTGTTTTGGGGATCTAAGCCACTGCCCAACCGACAGCTCAGGCAGTGGTCTAACGGCTGAGATACTCCCCTCGAAACTGGACCTCAGGATCGTATTTCGCATGGCATGGCGCAACCCGTGGGTCCTCGCGCGAAACTGATGGGTTGCGCCATGAATCCATGCGAATACGATCCCGGGGTTTAGTTTCGAGGGGAAAATCTCAGCCGTTAGAGCACTACCTAAGCTACCGGTTGGACAGTGGCTTAACTAAGGCCCCAAAATTACTTTCCACGTTCCCATAGGTCCACATTTGCCTAGACGCTGCCTTCAAAGGTGGCAATAGCCTAGGCTCGAAGACCTCATTTAGTTTCCATTTTTTTTTCCTGGAGGTACCGCGCTCAAATCTCAATGGACACTGACTTCAAAATTGTATTAATGTTTATGCTGAGCTCCACTTCTACCGTAATCCCGCAATGTGATGTGCAGGATAATAAAAACTTTTTACCAAAAAATCGCCATGGCAAGAATTTTTGCCCCCATCAGTAATTCTGCAGAAAATGTTAGTAAACAGCGCGATGTAAGTCTTGCCATAAAGCCATTCCGTTTTTACCTTACTAGGAAATACGATAGCACTTTGAGTTCAGATTCCCCAAACCTGTAAGTCCCACTCCTCTGTATAAATTTTTCTAATATCTCTACATAACATTTCATTCCAAAAACAAGCCTAACCCTTTTTTGCGGTAGTAACACAAAAATCAATATATCGATTTTCAGATCGGCAGACGCAAGCGTTACACAGTAATGTTAAATCTCAACTTTTTTCTTATGTTCTGTTCACAATCCAAATCTAGTCACTAGAGTTGCGATTAACAGTACTCAATAGCTAAATTAAAATAGCATAAGTGGAAGAACTAATTTTGTCATTGAGAGCCCTCTAGGCGGACTACTGATCTTCACATGGTGTGCTACGGCATGTGAAAAGGATCAGTAGTCCCGAAGTCCATTGGCGGAGTTCGTTCCTCCACTTAAATAGCCTATGAGCTTGTGTGAATGTTGTGACGGCTTAGCTGACACGACGATTGAGTTCCTGCCTGAGGACCCTAGACAAACCCTTGGGATAGTGCCGGCTACAGAGGATAATCCGCTTGTATTTAGGGTCAGCTTTGCGTCGGAGGTGACGGAAAAGACCATGGAAGCAATCGACCACAGCCTCGACTTAAATATGTCGATGACGGTCGAGCCCGCATTCCAAAAACCGTCTATCATCAAGAAACCGATGAAAAAAGAACGCGAACATCGACATCGCGAACTCAAACGAAACGAGGCACCGTCATTGTGAGTTTATTTTAACGACGAATTACGGTAGAGTGGTACGGTAATTGCCCGCTTCAGCGCACCGATGCGACGGAACAGTTTGCTGCAAGCGCTGGCTGTGGGCAGCCCTCACAATGTGCCGCACTTCAAAACGCTTCAGGACATTATTCGGGCAATCAAACACGTAAGTATTGATTGAGTCGCTCATAGTCGCACGGAAGTATAAACCATTGGTGCTCAACATATAAGTTCAGACTGAAATTCCCAGCTACAGTGAACAGGCAAGAAAATTTAGTGCTAAAATTTGACCTTAACCGATCACACTATCCTTGAGGGAATTCTTCTACATAGTGATAGGAGTGATTGCAAATACGTTTGCACGGGGGGAGCGCACGCGGAAGATGACAATCAAAAATGAGCAACTGGAAGCCCCGCCCACACATTTCACCATATCGTGGTGAGACCGATACTGGCCAATGCAGATCAATGGAGCGTCAGTTCTGGGCGCCTCGCTATTGGTCAGTACAGGTCTCGTCATACTGTAGTGCACCAATTGAAAATTGTCGCCTTCCGCACCATATCACGCCCCCTCTGCACGTACTCCTATTGACAAATACGTAATCTGTGAACTTTCACACTGACCAGGTATCTGCACACTTGAGGTGGATAAATAGTACAGGTGTTGGAAATACTGCACGGAAAAATCAAAATAATCCATTTGTAAATTTCATTTCAGGCTGGTCTCGAATATTCGAACTTAATCTTTGGTATCGACTACACAAAGTCCAACCACTACCAAGGTGAACGAACCTTTGACGGCCGTACACTGCATCATTTGGAAGATGGTGAGATGAATCCATATCAACAGGTCAGTAAGTTTGATTAAAGTCATTTTTTTTCTTCCAGTTCTTTATTCAACAACCTTTTCGAAAATATCAAAAACTCAAATCTTCGTAGGTCATTGAAATCGTTGGAAAAACGCTATCATCTTTTGACGCTGATGGTATGATTCCGGCCTACGGTTTCGGTGACGAAGAATTCACTGACAAAGGGATTTTCAATATTGCCGATCGATATAATATGGATAAGGACTGTAATGGATTTGAAGGTATTCACAGTCCGAGTGATTTATAATAGCAATAGTGCAACACAGCAAACACTCTTGAAGGTGAAAAAAAAGATATCAGCGGCATTCTAAGAGATAGGGGGGAGGAGACTTTTTTTTCATAAGGGGCGAATAATTTTGGGGTGATTTATGAGATTTTTGTGAGCCCACCACCCATAAATTCGAAGAAAATGGGCGTGGCGGTGACCACAACCAAAAATTTTCTTGCAGTGCTAATTTGGATTCTCAAAGATATTCCAAGAATTCTAATAATTTTGAAGTAAGAACGATTCACTTACACAATTTCAAAGCTTGTATAAACCGCCTAAGGCTGCCTCCCCCCCCCCCCCCAACCACTCTTCCCCTTCTCCCCCAACCCCCTCCTACCTGGTTTATCACTGATAAGAGTCATCGCAAAAAATCAGGAGAGACCTAATTTTCAAATTATGCAGCTTCATGACCGCTTAGAAAGAAAATCAGCATAGATACGTACAAGACATTCACCGAATATTTAAATGCTAAAAAAACATAAAAGAAGGCCATGCGAATTTTTTGTGTTTCTTCGCAGGTCTCAAAATTTTATTATAGCCCATATATTGCATAAAAACCGCAAACTAATCTTACCTCCCTTTATAGAGGTCCTGAGAGTCTACAACGACGTTACTCCGAAGGTGGCAATGAGTGGTCCAACAAACTTCGTTCCATTGATCGGTAGGCCTCAAGCCTTCAAATGTGCTTGTACTGCTTAAAAATAATCGTTCAGAACGTGCTGTGGAAATCTGCAAAGAGAAGCAGTCTTATCATATTCTCGTCATTGTGGCTGACGGACAAGTGACGAACGAAAAAATCAACCAAAAAGCTATCGCTGCTGCTTCGCACTATCCACTCAGCATTATAATGTAAGTGTGAAAGAATTGGATAGAAGGTCCAAATCCATAAAAGAAATCTTCAGGGTGGGAGTTGGTGATGGTCCATGGAGTATGATGGGACGATTCGATGAAAACATTCCGAAACGATTATTCGATAACTTCCATTTCGTTGATTTCCACAAGGCAAGTGCACTGTTGTTCGTCCTGCTGCTATTCAAACTTTGTCGCCACCCGTCGCCACCCACGCCGGAGATACGCGCGCAATGAGTGGCGACGCATGTATGCGGCAGAGACCTCACTCTTTGTCATTTGGAGCCCAAAATGTGCGCTCGAGTCCTGCGAGGTCCTCTCGCCGGAATCCTGGCGGTGTTTGCATATGTGTAATTAGGCGTGGGTAAATAACTAGGGGCGTCCGCGAACGCGGCGCAGGGTCCAGGCAAGGCGGCCGCGCGGGAAGCCGCTTGAGTGGGCGCACTACAAATGAGACGGAGCTTAGGGATCGTTCAGACCTCGCACAAAGGCGGACGAAGGCGCACAAAGGCGGACGAAGCCGCACAAAGGCGGACGAAGGCGCACGAAGGCGCGTGTGAGTGTGTGTGTGTGTTTCGAGATAAACGAGACGAGACGAGACGCGCCTTCGTGCGCCTTCGTCCGCCTTTGTGCGACTTCGTCCGCCTTCGTCCGCCTTTGTGCGGCTTCGTCCGCCTTTGTGCGCCTTCGTCCGCCTTTGTGCGCGGTCTGAACGATCCCTTAGATGCTTATCTGAATTTTTTGATCTCCACAATTCTACCAAAAATTTTCAGGTGATGTACAACGCACCGAATGCTGAAGCATCATTTGCTCTGAATGCTCTGATGGAAATTCCGGATCAATACAAAGCAATAAAGGAGCTTGGGCTGCTAAAACACAGTCGAAGGGGTTGATGACAGAGAAACGACGAGCGGACGAGCGAGTATAGTAGCGTCTAACAAACCGCATGCGCCGGCAATTGCACAGGGACTCTTGTAGAGTAGGCTAGTATAACCCCGGTGCAATCTTGGCATCTAGCCAAGCGATCAAAATTCAACAAATTCTATGATTACTAGCTCCTTCTTTTATGAGATGTGCCTGTACGATTGTCAAATATGCGACAAATTGTTGTACGGCGCGCGCGTCACGACTGTGAACTGGCTTTCCCGCCAAATTTCTCTGCTCACAAATCTTCACAAAATGAAGATGATTATAGCGTGAAATTCGGTAAATGCACACTTAACGACATGTTGCACTTCTAAAAAATCACACTAAACAAATTTCTTTATTTTTTTGGTTCATGCTTCATATCAGCCACATAAGGCGTGGGTGCAACATGCCGTCATTGTCGTCTGCGTTTCGATTGCTTTCACTATAGCGCGCGTTTTGTGATAGTTATAGCTATGTATAAATTGCGATTAACTGCGCCAAATATCAGATTAATTCGCACGTTTTCGCGCTTCATTCACAATCTCTGTGGAAATGCGGATGATATGTACTGTTTGTTGTAATTATTGTTATAATGAGATGAGCAACATTTCAATAAAAGTTGCTTATTCCTTCGTTGTTTTGTACATCTAAGCCGGCGGATCCAGGCAAAGGACAGTGCAGCCATCGGACTAGCTCACTGGCTGAAGTACGGTTGCGAATAACGACTTTCTACGATTTGAGCATTCAATAGATTTACTGCTGCTAAACATGTCAGCCTCATAAAGGACAAATTTTTGTCACCACGGGTTCTTTGAAGTCCGCCTCGCATCTTCAGTCTTGGCTCAGAGACGGCACCGTTCAACTCACCTCGACGAGGCGCATCTTCTGATGCATAAAAGTGCCCGTTTTGGATACGGTAGGTGCTCAAATCTCCATAGATTTTTGCCTAGGCTGGTGACTCAGCGTGCAATACTGGGTACCCTACCATAAGCAAAAATCCAAAAAAAATCGTGAAATGTGACCGCTTACCGTGCGCCTATCGCTCCAAACGGGCACTTCTGCATAGAGGAGATGCTCTTCGCCGAGCTGAGTTGACGGTGCCCTTAGACTTAGAAGGCAAACTCTAAACCAAGATAACACAGTGCGACGCGGATTTCGGTGTACTCCGCTGTTCGGTGGTTTTTTTCTGACGATTTATGAGCGGTTTTATCTGTGTTGCCATGGTTATTCATTTCAGCAGAGCCACGCAAAAAAATGCACAATACGTACAAAGTGTGTCAAAGCAAATTGCCCGTATCCCTTGCTTTGAAACATTTATTATCGAGTGAACGCCAATAGTAAAGTGTACGGCAACTAAATTTTGCATCTAGAGTTTCTATTTTGTATGGTAGCCTCATGTTTCAAGTGATGCTGAGTTGAAGAGTTTCCTTTAACTCAAAAAATGCAATTATCAATTTAACTGATGCACTGATTGATCTTGACAACGATGCTATCCATGTGTGCGACCCTGTTTCGAGATGAATCACAGTGTCGATCAGTGTAATTTTCAACAAGCTCCGTTTGCATGAATCTTTTAGTATCAAAAGGCACGAGGACGAGTTGTCAGACATCACTCAGAATTAGCAAAGCACAACTACTTCATCGAATTGGTTCATGTAAAAATGACTGTAGGTAATACTGTGGATGCCACTTGAATCACGTACTTTGCTGACCTCTTTCACAAATGTAGTGTTGAATAAGGTGGATCTCACCACGTTGACAGTGATACAGTGTCCATATTCATGAAATCAAACGGTTTACATCATATAATAAGCAATGTTTATAACAAAACATTCAACAACAAACAACTTTAGGCAGAAGCGGCGACCTTGGGCTTGGGAGTGGTGCCCTCACGGAATCCATTTCTGGAAACAAAGTATTCAGGTGAGCTCACACTGATGGCAGAGCAAAAGGATAAAACTGCAAAGAAGTTGGTAATATAACAACGATCATATTTCAAACAAGTGATTTAAAACTGGTAGAATATTTATCAAGCTCCGACACTTGTACGCGAGGATGTAGCCTTAATGAAAGCAGAGGTAATTCGCATTCACAAACCGGAAGTAGCCTTTTTTGTACTGACTCTAGATGCGAGATCGATTCTTTGAAATTTCTTAAAGCTTTCTGTCTTATACCCAAGCAAACTTTTATTGAATTTCATATCCAGATAGATGGAGACGAGAAGTTCAGTGTGGCGAAGGAGCTCAATAAGCAATGCTTCAGTGCAGAGCTTCATCGGCATTGTCAAATGTGTGCAATAGTCAGCTTCTACCTGAATGTGGGATATGATGGTACTTTCGTCTTTGTGGACATCTTACATCTTTGTAAAGAGAATTTGCGAAAAGTCTAAAAATGAAACGCTGAACGCTACGCTAACATCTTTGCACGATCAAAGAGTAAATATTGATAGAGCACAATGCAATTTCCGCATGACACAACACTGAGAGGAATAAATGGACTTCACCAACGCTGGAGAAGAAGGCAAACGAAAGATAAGCAATTTATTTCACGTTCGCACTTTTGTCGTTATGATCGCAACGAAAAAGGAAAAGACTGTCTTTAACACTAACTTAACTTGAATCGTTTGGACTCATATGAAAAATCGCTTGCAGGCAGGTAAAGTTACAAAAAAACGGTATAAGAAACGAAAAAAATGTCGCTGCTGAACATTTACTCAGGGATGATCCAACCAAAAGGAGGAACAATCGTGAAAATCTTTGATTTGTTGTTGAACGGTGGCCAAGAGTGAAGATCAGAAGATGTTCAAACTATGCCGTAATTTACAGAAGGTCGAACTTGGAGTTTAATAGCGAAAATGTTCCGCAAAGTGAAGAAGCCAAGCACGAACGCGCTAATATTTTGAAAATTATGATTGACTAGCTTGCTTACCCGGCTTCGCTCGGGCCTGTCACACTGTAATAAAGGTCCCATCCCTATCCCTGCACAGCCTTTCCCTGTGCCCACTTCTACACTTCATTTCCCGTTCTCTGTGTTGTTTTCGAAATCAGCATGCCCACTTACCCCCCCCCCCCCCTCCGTGCCAACTCCCAGCCCTGCAGCTCAAACTTCGCAAAAAATCGATAAAATCGATAAAAGTAATGGACGATTATGAAAACTAATATTGTGTTCGTAATCAGCATGCTCGATTACCCCCTGTGCCAACTCCCAGCCCCGTAGCTCAAACTTTGCAAAAAAATCGATAAAATCGATATCGATCGATGACGAAAAGTGGCCTATGACACCCGCCGGGGCCCGAAGTGTACGTGCGCCAAGTTTGGTCCGGATCGGTTCAGAAATGGAATTTTCTATTCGGAACATACGTACAGACACACAGGCATACACACAAACAGACATTCAGCTTTATATATAAGAATCAGAACCACATCAAAAAGTACCGGAAATCAAGGAATGTTAACATTGTCTGCAATAAAAAAGACTAGAGTCGATGAGAGGAGATGAGCGTATTTTAAGTAAGAAGCTATCAGCAAAGTGGTGTAACTATTTTCAACATATATCGTTAATTTGGCGTCAAGTACGTGATCATGGCCTGGTATAGGGCTTCATGAAATCGCCACGACGACCACAGTCTTTGCGCGCGAAACCTTGGGATATATAATGCTCAAACAAGAGTCACTGAAGTAGTCAGCTCAGTCACTTCGATTGTCTAGCAGCTATCAAATGCATGCAAAAATTCTTCGAGAAGACGCGAATGCAAACGAAAATGCCGTTGCGAAAACTGCATAAGCGACGCGCGCGGCTGCCGCCATGCCAATTTATGAGTGACCTACACAGCATCTTTGGTTGTTATGACGATATGGACCACAGGTGAATCGCGGTTGCTTGAATTCATGTTGTTGAGATTGTTGCGGATGAAATGGGTTAGAGAACAGCTACCAGTGGGTAGGGGAACGAAGTCCGCTAGTTTTAGCCGCCTCCGTGGACGGCTAGTCCTCGACATGAAGCAACACTGCAAAAGGAGCAGCTGATAGCGAAGGCGGTCTAAAATGGCGGAGTTCGTTGCCCTATCATTACGTTTAACACGTTGACGACCGAGCCATTTTTTGACCACATCAAAATGGATTGATGATCTACGGCTGCGGTTTAGACTGTTTAACAGCTACCGCAATGCCGTGTGTTCTATATGACAAACAGGCCACCAATGTTATCACTGTATAGAATTTACCTGAGAGCTTTTCGTTTACACATGATAATTTGATGCACGAAAGTGCTAAAAGGTGGTCAGGGCGTGCATACGCGCGGATGCACACGGTCGTCAACGTGTTAAGGGAATGCTTATCAAAATGGCATTATCTATGGGTTACGCAAAATTTTTCTCTTAATAAGGCGATACAACGCGAAATCAGGCGCTTGCAGCAAGGAATTTGTTCTACAGCCTTCGCTAGAAATTTGGATCACTGCAACGATTTATAAAGGCCTCAAATTTCGAATTCAAGATTTTGCTACTAATTGCTACCAGTGGGTGCTTTCAGCCGCAAAGCTACGATACTGTGGCGTTCCAAACCAGTTGCGCATGAAGAAAAACGGAACAGAGTTAAAGCTTGAACTGTCGATAATGCATAGGCAATTGTTCAACATGACGAAAATAGTATAACTCTACCACATAAAGAAAATAGTGCAAATCAAGGAAATGAAACGAATGTCAAAATGATGAGTAAAAACGAAAAATTCAAGCGAAAGTTCAGAAAACTAGACTTGCCTGAAGCGTCTGTGCACACTTCGAAGATGACGCATGCGGCCAGTGCCGGTTGTTCTTCTACGGATAGATTTGGCTCCCCAGTTATACTTGCGCTTCTTGGCGTCCGGATAACCGCATGACGCACACCTCTTCTTCTGAATGTGGAAGCTTGACCGTCCACATCGTTTGCACAACGTGTGCGACTTCACGTGTTTCTTACCGAAGGCCTGTGTACCCTTAGTCATCTGGAATGAAGAAAATCAAAGTGCAGAAAAAAGATAGCATTGAAAACAGCTCAAACACGGTTCGAAAGCATATAGACTAACATTTCATGACTTTCCAAAGCATTCCTGAGTACAGACGAAGACTTGAGTGCAAGTGACAAAAACCCAAATAAGTCCTAATGAAATGCTTTCCACATTGGAAACAACAATAATTAGAGACCTCCAGCAGAACAAACATATGCTAGAAACGGAAATGGTTGCGAAGATTCTAAAGGATTGAATTCATATGAACACACATAAAACATGAGCTGCACTGTATTTCTGGACATTTTCTGACTAAAAGCAAGAGAAACAGATTCTTTCGTTGCAAACAACACGTACAAAGTCTTCCAAGCTTTCAAAAAACGCTAAACTTTGAAAAGCAATTTTAGGCAAAATGAAATCCGTGTTCGTTTGAGTCTACGCCACATATTCCGTGGAGGACCAATCGCATAAGGATTACCAGTCCTTTAATACCGACAGTTATCGAGCACACTTTTTCATTGGAGCGCCCTAGTGGGATAGTCGAGTAACTCGAGAATCAACTGTTTGCAACTGTATTTTAAATTTGTTTTTAAGCTAATTTGGCGCTAGAGAGCAGAAGATTTGATATTCTAAGCCCAACTTACAGTCGCTTCATTTTATATGATCATGTGTGTCATTGCACACACAGTTCATCTTTGGCGTCCCCATCCTGGATTCGTGGGAGAAACAAGCCTTCAGGTAAGTGCTTTCAAGGTGTTCTTAGCATTTTCTTTCCCTTTTAGTTACTAGTTACCTCAAATTGATGGAATCGATAACAATCGGTAAGTCTCTTGCGTTTTTGCGATTGCAGATCCAGGATGAGGACGCCAAAGTGGACTGTGTGTGCAATGGCACACATGATCATATTGAATGAAGCGACTGTAACTTGAGCGCTACTTCAAAAAATTCAAATGCTCTACAATGAGGTTTTGACGATCGTATCGATTCAAGACGACTAAGCAGATATCCGATTCTTTGGTTTTGCAAGATCCTTAGTTTATATAGTTTTCAGGCAAAATTCCCATATAACTTTTTCTCCTTTCATCTTTTCTGACGACCAACGCCTACAGCTTACTAGTTTTTAGCGAAAATACTTAGCTCAGAAGATTTCAGCGTCGGATTACATTCTTGGACTTGTTAACAGATTGCGATGATCTGCACACTTTTGCCCAAAGATTTATTGATAAAGCAAAAATTCCGCGAATACGATAGAGGCTGTAAGGCTGAGCAACACTCGATAATGCGGCTATGCCCTCGAGATTTTCTTGTGATTATGCCTCCTTCTCTGCTTTCGACTGCGGGCGAGTTGGCTTAGGTTAGTGGAATCAAACGCTTTTCTCTTAGAAATTGCAGAGACACGATTTCTTTGACGAGATGTCCCGCCAATCTGTCTTCGTAGTATGGAACGCGGTGGACAGGGACAGTACTGAGCATCAGCGCCTGGCATGCCAGCAGGACCTGGTGCTCCAGGCATTCCATCTGGTCCTGCTGGGCCGGGTCTTCCTGGAGGACCTTCTGGTCCAGGTGGACCAGGTAATGGCGGCCCACCACTTGGTCCATCCGGTCCAGGTGGTCCAGGCGGGCCCATTGGGCCGGCCGGTCCAGCCGGACCCGGTGTCCCAATACTACGTTGTCCTGACATGCCTGGCATACCCGGTGCTCCCGCGTTTCCTGGTGGTCCAGCTGGTCCTGGGTCTCCTGGAGGTCCAGGTGGTCCCGGTGGGCCCATACCTCCTCCCGCACCGGCCGGTCCTTGCGGTCCAACCGGTCCCGGTGGGCCCGGACGTCCATCTGGTCCTGGAGGGCCGGGTGGTCCAGGGGGGCATTTAATGCATCCGCCTGCTCCACCTCCATCGCTTATCTGAATACCGTCGTTTCCGCGTTTACCGGGTAGACCTGGAAGGCCGTTCTCTCCGTCGGGGCCTGGCTCGCCTGGCGGACCGGGTGGTCCAGCAGGGCAGTTCATTGACACTGGTCCACAAGCGCAGTGCGCTGGCCATTGGCGAGGTTTTCTGACATTCAGATCAGAGGTAGCCCTTTTCTCACGTATATCACGATATGATGGTCGCATTTGGTGCCATGCAGAATCGGCCAGATCCTAAGAAGTAATTTGTGTGATTGAATGCCCGGTCAAAAAAAGCAGTTTTATTACCTTGAACTCTGAGAGGTCGTGGATCGCATTGTCGTAGAATTTGTTGATGTCGTTCACCAAATAAATGATAATAATGACAGAAACTAGAGTTGTGACGGCCGTGCCACCTGCTGTGATGGCAAAGAGAAATCGGCTCATTCTGTAATGACTAATGGTCCTTGCATATGAATATAAATCAGCTAAGTCACTGTGCTTACCCCAACCTTACCTCCCAACAGTCAGTGGCAAACGATGAGTGAAAGTTCTGACGCAACCCGCTTTTATACAACTAACTCGAGTTCGTTTTCATGGCAAGTGCTCGACGACTGGGTGCCTGTGCGTTTTGTCGATTGTTCAAACTGCGTTTTTCCGGCAGCGTCGTATTGTTGGTTGAATTCATTCTTCTTTTTGAGGTGACATCGCTCATTGCCGTCTCTTGGCGAGGTCTTAATGGAATATGTGTGTCAAAGAACGAGACACCTCGACTACGAAGAATCCGTACTTGTAGTCAAGCGGAACTGGTTTCGCGCTTGTTTCAAGCCGATAATCGCTCTTCAAGAGCATTTTTAGAATATGTTCAATGACACTGAAAGTGCAAGATTTGAAAGTGCTGGGCTACATGTTTACCCAGCATTAGTCTGGAATGCTAACTTTAAAACACAAATGGAAGGAGATCTAGTAATTGTTTTATGCTTTTCCAACTTGTATTGAAGGACGCATCTGAAAGAAGACAAAATAATTGCACCGTTCTTTTTTCAAGCCATTAAGTGGTAAGCACTATTAGAAATCTATTTCCTAACAACTCGTGGGAATCCCGTCTGTTAAAAGACCGTAATGGAATGCTGAAAATTCCGGGCTAGAAGCAACTTTCCATAGAAGAAAAACAAAATATTTTGAAGGTTGCGACTGGAAGTAAATCAACCGGCTGGGAAACTTTCTACGAAGTATCTAATCAACTCAGTCTTTTTACACATGGGGTGCACATCTAAATAACTACGTTGTTCAAAGATGCTCTTACAAGATCAATTTCGGCAGAGGTAGAATTCATTTGCGATCAGAATGTTGGACTTTTTTGACTGACTGACTGTGAGTGTTGCGAAATCAGTACGTGTGGAGGAAAAATGTAAGAAATCCCGATTTGTTATCTGTGTATCAGTCTTACGAGATTTCGCATAAAACATTTATCGGCTTTGCAAATTCCAAACCTAACCAAAATTATGCATTATCTTACGTAGCAGTAGTTCATAAATTGCTGTGACGGGCTTTAATCTCACATGGAAATGCAAAAACGAAAATTCGTGAAAAGCAGCATTTTGCGCCAAAGTTCTGGATAAGGAAGTGGGCCAAAATTTTGATTTTGAGCTGTGTTTCTGCGAGGATACGGTAATAAGGCAATTTATTTCCTCCTAAGGGCCGAACATACTTCACGCAATTTCAGTCGCGGCGCGATTTGGCAATAATCCAACCGTCCATAACTCATTGTGAGCACATTTAAATGCACAGAAGATAGGGCATTTTATCAGTCCACGCAAATTGTACACATTATGCATGTGCAGTTTGCTAGCGTTGGATTTGAAGATTTTTGGCGAATTGCCAAATCGCGTCGCGACTGAAATCGCGTGAAGTATGCCCGGTCCTATAAATTGGCATTTTTCGCGAGTTTATCGTATGCATTCATACGAGATCAAATCTTGCTACAGCGGGACGTACGAGCTCTTATGTAACGAAATTTGAGATTCTATTTTCATGATAAATTCTTTTTTATATAAACTTCAACATGGCAACATTTGAAAATTTACATTTGATGCAAACTCAAGCGGGGTGACAGATGAAGAAATTCGTCAAAAAATTTTACCTTATATTCTTACTTATTCTTAATCTCGATGAAATCTATTAAAATAGACAGTTTTTCTAGCATTTTATGTCAACCTCCATTTAAGAACCATTACCATGCCTCATCGTGAAGAAGCTCGTTGAGAAGGTAAAGTTACTTGGAATAATTCTGCAGGAGGCCACAAGGAACTGGTTTCCTCCTAAAGACTTTTTTTCAAGAAATGATACATGCTTTCAGCATTCTAAGCGGCAAATTGAGCATTATGTGTACCTGTTTCCAGTTACAACTAACCGGTATCACTTAAGGAGTTAGCTTTTGTGGTGATGTTTTTCAAGATGACAAAATTACATAATGTAAAGACTCCATATTGTTATGGCAGTTGTGCTGTAAACACTTTGCGGTAAACAAGTTAGCGACTTGCTCTGGTGAGAAAGTTCACTGAACTTGCCGGCAATAGACAGCTCAACTGATTTTTGACGGTTCGATGCCAATCTTGGGTCGAGTTCGTCATCTACAGAGTATGACGTTTGTTCCTAGAAAGCTTTCGAAAAATTTCTGTTTGAACAAGAAACTGTAATGCTTTCTCATTCGTGACCTACCAAAAGAAAATATGGCATTTTCACTTGAGAATGAGTCGCCAAACTTATGGCATTCGGGGAATTATAAGCCGTCGTAGAGACAGTTGCGTCTTTTATATTTTTTGGTGATCTACTGGCGTAATTTACATTCTCAAAACTTCAACATAGAGTCGCTTCCTTTTGAATTCGTGGATTTTATTATATTTGGCTTCGAGTTTGATTATTCATTTTCTGTTTTTGATACATTGGGATCTCCGGAAGTGAAGGAGCACGAAAGGGAAAGCAGGAGGGAGGGAGAGGAAGAAAATGATATGGTAAAGTAGTAAAGCTGCTTCAGCGATCTCAATGAATAAAATTTTAGTTGAGCCATTGTAATGCCAATTATCACTATGATAAGATTAAGAACGTCATGTCCATGCAAGTACCACCGAAACGTGTTCGCCAAACATTCGCATCTACTATGGGATTGGTATTAGCGGCAAAGATGTGGTACTTTATAGAACATATAAAGTATCTCAGCCTGCACTATGGCTCCTCATCTATTATAGTATTCCTTGACATGTTAAACTGACGTGTATTGTAAGTTACTCAGGAGTAAGCTACAAAAATTTTCTGTATATCATTCATCATTCACACGCTATTAAAGTCAGTTCACTTGTTAACTGAATATGAACTGAACAAAGCTAGGTAAACGACCTCGTCAGGTAGACGGACGGTCAACTGACATTTCAATTTTACATTCTTACAGCGTGGAAAGGTGATGGCCGCATTCTACTTTACCGATTCTCAATTGAGGGCCTCATTTCAGATAATCTGAACTAAATGAGCTTTATCACGGATCTGTGTCTTTTTCAATTTTTCCATCACAAAACTGCCAGCTTTCATATTCAATGTGCTTTCGGGATTCGAAACAAAGTTAATGTGCCACACTGACACGTCATTACTTTGCTTCCGCCACTCCTCTTCATTCGCATAATTATAGACACTATTAACCAAAATAATGTTTAATTTGCACAAGAATACAGATAGTTATGATTTTAGAATTTTTTAAGCTTTCTTGGGAGCCACTGATGATTGGGTGCGAAAAAAGCTACACTACCGGATTATTTCTTAGCCCCAAACCGGTTGTGTGAAAAGCAGTAGTTTGTAAGTAAGAATATTCTTTCTTGTAATTCTAGTGTGGACTTCCATTTTGTTTGTTTATATTCATTCCGAAGTGGGTATTCCGCAGCTTGAGCAGTTTTTGTCGCACAATACAGTATCTTGCTACTACAAATCTTTGTCTGGTTAGGATTATTTGAAAACGTCTGCCATTTTTGCGACATATTTATTACACACATTTTTTTCTCATATTTTTATTTACAGCACAGGCTTACTCACAAAAATAGGGGAAATATAATACAATGCAAATCCGTGAGACAATTGGATTAAGGTCTGTGAACAGGATGACCGCGGTGAACAATAACAATATATGCTTAAGAATCAGTAATCATCATAGTTTTCGTTGCCGACACTCTCGAGATGAAAGCGACAGTAGTTTTGCTGCGAAGTCCCAGAAGTGTTAGCACTTCTCGCTGTATGGTGCGATTCAAAAGAAGATAGACAATGGCGGGGAAACCTTGAAGTATCATTAGTCAGACTTTCCCGAGCTTGAAGTACAGGTCACTTTAATTCTTAACCACTTAACAATAAAACTAGCATACCATGCCCCAGTTGCCAACAAATGTGTCCAATCAGTACGAAATAAGAAGGAGTAGGGAAGAATTGCATGTAAACATAGATGAGTGCCGCAATTAGGTTTGCCGCGCATATCGTCGAGCACTGCACGAAAAACTGAAAAGAGAAAGCATTAGAGCATTTCCGAGTACGTTACCACTTGAACGACGACCTTACCGATTTCTGTCCCCAGGACAAACCATGTCCAATTTTGGAAAATTGCGCTAGCACACGCGAGTACTGGATATAAAGTAGACATGTAAGTACGACGACGAAGAGGTTATTGGCGGTGTGAGGATAATTGAGGAACTGAAGAGTGGCTATTTTATCATTTTTTTGTGCCGTAAGTAAGGAAACTATAAAGGGTGATGTTACTGCGTATCGCTTATGCTTTCCCCCCTTAGGCTAATAGCTCCGTGAAATTTAAATTCTAATAAGGTGAAAATACATGAAGAACAGTGACTTTGAGTTACGACTTTTTTCAAAAATTGTTTTGTAGCTAAACTAGCCACGAACGCAGATTTGAGGTATTACCCTGCATAGGGAACCTTTGGAAGAATTACATAGCAACTGTCTCCGCTTTTTATTCTCTAGTTGCGAGCCCCAAGACAATGCTTTTTGCCACAATTCTCAATGATTGTGTCAGGCTCCGAAGATCCAGTGTCAAAGTAACATTATCACTTTTCTGCGCCAACCTTTTCAGAGTCATGCCCGGGCACAAATGTGAAAAAGAACCAGGCTGTTTGATCGGAGTTGAAAATGATAGGAGAGGTGAAGAAGCAGAAGTATATACTGTAGATTATCGGTATAAGCAGGACTATATAGGTTCTTCCATCTTTGAAGAGCTGAAAAGCAATAGGAGAAATTTAGGCAAACTTACGCAAGATTTGGTTAATTACCAATTGCATCAGCCGCCTATTCGATAGGTCTAAGAGACGATTGATGACGAGGACGAAGCAGATCATACAAGCGCCACACCATAGTCCTGGTACATAGTAGGTTTGGGTTTTACATTAGTGCAGCACAAAGCGAAATGTTAAAGATAGTTTTGCATGGGCATGGGTTCTTCTTTATGGAGTTATAGCTAACTTCAATGTTAACACCTACAGTTACTTATCATCAAATCCGCTCAAGCTTTCCTTCCCCCCCCCCCCCCCCCCCCCATACTTCTCACCTTGCTCTGATTGAGGCTACACTCACTGACGTGATGAGCTGTTTGGCTTCGTTTATGTTTCTGTTTATATACCGCTGCATTTAGGTCCGGGCATACTTCACGCGATTTCAGTGGCGACGCGAATGGCAATTCGCAGAAGTCTTCAGATTTAACACTAGCAAACTGCACATGCATAGTGTGTATAACTTACGTGAACTGATAAAATGCTCTATCTTCTGTACATTCAAGATGTGCTTGAGGTGGTTATGGACAGTTGGAATATTGCCGAATCGCGTCGCGACCTAAATCGCGTGAAGTATGCTCGGCCCTTTACTAACATCTTTGATTTCTTTATTTTTACTGAGCGCCTCGAGCGTACAAATAAAATTGAAAAATCATATATCCTTACCAAGGGCCACGTTACCGGACGCAAACATGAACGTTGGATTTGTGCAGTAGTTAGCTCCAACTATCCAGAAGTACCCGGTTAGCAGAGAGTTGAGTGATATAGCCGCCATATCATATATCCCTGAAATAATAAAAAAAACGTTTTGTATATGTTTTTAGAAATGAGAGCCGTGGGGCAGACCTAATACTATCATGATCTTGTAGCATGACAAGCGTCGGTACTGCTTTCTAACCATCACCATTAAGTCCAAGACGTAGATAATCTGTAAGAGAGTCTCAGGAATGGGGGTAAGTTGAGGAGTAGGGGGGGGGGGGAGGGAGAATGTGCACTAACCTCAGCAATCAAACCATATATAATACAAGCTGCACCCAAAGCATAGTGCGTTATCCCGGGTTTCCTGTGTGAACCTCTGAAAAAGGCTATTTTCATCATGCAGACATCACAAATACATCATGATATCAAAATAAAACATCTAACAGTCATCTTTCTGAGGATTGAAAGCTATATTACTCACATGCAGTCGTAATCGGGAATATTCTCTGCGTCTCCGCCATTTGCTAGCAACCATTCCATCTTCAAGAAAAAATGGAGCCGTTATCAACAGGGTTTGTTTAATAAAACATGCGCTATTTGATAATGTATACGCCCTATGCTGAGGATGATTATTGTACGAAGACATGGAAGGTGGTGAATGTAGAAAGCTAAATTTTCAATCTTCTATAAGAGCAAGTTCTTGAAAAAACTGGAATCTGCATAAAGAACTTCGATACAAAAAGTAGATTTATTGTTTCTTGAGGACTATCTGTTAGGGCTAAAAACGGTTTTACTGCTAAAGGCTTTTGTTACACAAATTACTAACGTGAGAACAGGTTAACACTGTTTCCGTGAAACCATGAAAATTTCATTCACCGATTTCTAGCGAAAAAAATTCTTACCAACTGTATATATGAATCTGATATGGAGGAGTGCATATGCATGAGCGAATAAGATTAGTAGGAATTTTTTTCGAAGTTCTTAAGATTTTTTCTCAGTTTTTCGGGCTTTCAAATCTTTTTAATTACTGGTTTTGAATTTATGTGGATCAGAGCTGGTGTAAAGTTCTGATCATCTTGGGGCTTACTTTGCTTCATCAAATATAATTTGCTGTCAGTGATGTGGTGCAAGACCCGTGGACCAACTCAATAAATTAGCATCGCGTCCCAGCTGCAGAAATGGTACAAAAAGGGAAAAACTTATACGACAACGCCCTTGTAGGCAGTAGAATGTATAGTGAAGAGTTGTTTACGGACGTAAATAATAATCCTCAATCAGCACAATTTCTTTGTTGCGTGCTTGTTTAGCCTTTACTCACGAGTAGGCGGATTAGTCGCCATTGTAATTGTTAGATGAATCATTACATTCCGCACAAGTAACAAAGAATATCAGAACAAGCTTTGGCTGATTACCACAAGATAATAAAATTCATTTCCACCCCTTGAAAGCACCGTCCACCCAAAATTTCGACCTCAATGTTTTTGCCGTTTCAGGGCCTTCTCTTATCCCTGATTCCGAATATCAAGTTGGAAATCCGCGAGAACCAATCCCGAAAAAGCCCCATTTTCAGAATCCGCAGAACGATTTCTTCGGAACGGTGATTGGTTGAGCGCGCACGGACGGGGCGACGTTACTTCCACTCAAGGGGAGGAGTCAGCGTGGCGAATCTGTCATCCGAGCGAATTTCGAAGCAATTATCTCGCTTCGGAAGCAACTTTTGCCAGCGCGAGTTGGATAAGTATACAGTGGGGGCTCCACTACTGTTAGGCATCAAAATCTCATTAACCCCATTTTGGGTGGACGGTGCCTTTAAATGAAGTTATGATAAGGACAAACTTGTCTAGGAAGTTGGTTGAGTTAGCTAACAAAACAAAGTATGTTTGTGGCGTTCGATACTCGCATGATATCTTCTTAAAAATGTTACAGATCCTACGATTAAGACAAACTTGTTTATCCTATCCTGAACTTAATGAATTGCTTGAATTGTTAGAGAGCGGATAACTGCCCGAAATTCTGCTGCTGGTCTACACATAAGCCTAGCGGGATAGTGACAGTCCCACTGCCATTCCGCTGCTCTCGAGTTTTTTTTTTCAAATTTTGGGACTGTGCTTGATTCAACGTTCAAAGATGTGGCATTGCGCTTCCATTAGGGCCCGAGAATGGCAAATGGACATTTTTGAAACGATGCCCTGCCACCTGACATTTTTGCTCCTACTTGATCGCGGCAAATGCGTGGATTGTTCAGGAGCACGCTTTTTTCTCCAAGAGGGCCGGCATCGTTGCTATCTCGTACCTTAACAAGAAAGAGAGGATCAATTCGAAAGCAAAATGTTGGTATATTGTGAACTTCGGTTGTATAGCAGATTTATGTACGAATTTTGAGAAACTTATGCGAAGAGGAAGTTTTGCACCTCAGGAGGGCATTAGATATGGAATTGCTCACCTAATTTGGGAAAAAAATTGTGCATGCTCCTTATTCACGCAAATTCTTCATAATTTTACACTTTTTTCTTAGGGCCGCATGCACTAACCTCCCCGCGGGGAGGGGATCGCAGCTTAAAAGAAAGCTAAGTATTTCGAAACTCCAGATACCTGGATTTCACGTTGTGTATCTACCCGTAAGTATTTCTACTACCATTCACTATGAACATGTTGAACAGGAGCGAGAAGCCGTACGAACCGCATTTTCCAGCTTTTGTATGATCCCTGATGATCCCCGGCACTTTTCTTTAAAGTCATTTTTCCTTCTCCGAAGTTAACGAAAACCTTCCAAAGTTGTGCAGATTATCTAACCCGACTGTGCTAAGCATGTTGCTGATAAGAACAAATGATGTTTTGAATCATGAAATTTTCGATGATCCACAGGTCGAAATTTGAGATTTACCGAAAAACTCAACTTTTCAAAAACTCATTTGTTCTCATCAGCAACATGCTTAGCGCTGTTGTGTTAGATGTTCGGTACAACTTTGGAAGGTTTTCGTTGACTTCGAAGAAAGAAAAATGACTTTGAAGAAGAGCGCCGGGGATCATCAGGGATCATACAAAAGCTGGAAAATGCGGTTTGTACAGCTTCTCGCTCCTGTTCAACATGTTCATAGTGAAGGTTAGTGGGAATACTTACGGATCGGTACACAACGTGAAATCCATGCATCTGGAGTTTTGAAATATAAAGCTTTCTTTTAAGCTGCGATCCCCTCCCCGCGGGGAGGTTAGTGCATGCGGCCCTTAGTTTCACTGCGCATATACACACCAAATTGCGTGGCATATAGTCATCTGTCGTTGCGAACAAGTCATTTTGTGTTAGTGGGATATTAGAAAAGATGTAGATAGAATTCGTCGTACAAGAAGATGGCTGTAGATGTTTACATAACATTTTAACATTTCGTAAATAATCACAAAACATTCCCGCGCCGAAAATGTTGTGCATGCGTCGTCCCACCGGAGCCGCCACGCCATCGTTGTCAATGGGTAAAACGAGGCAGCCATTGTCGAATCCTCAACTTTGGCAAGGCGGAGTCATGATCTTTAACAAAGGCTGCGTTCATACTGATCCGGAAGTTCGGGAACAGTTAAAGCATAGCGCTCGAAGTTAGCGCTGTGCTGGAATTGTTCCCGAACTTCCAGATCAGTATGAACGCAGCCAAAGATCGATGGATCAGGCATGCCTCAGCACAAGGCAACCTCAACGCAAGATACGCTATTGCAGCTCCACCTCGCCAAAATCTAGGAGCCACTTATGATTACTACCCAACGGAAAAAAGTTGGGATTTTTGAAAGTGACCCATGAGTTGTTTGTGCATATCTTTCGTGTAGCAAATTGTCGAGAAAGTTTATGTATATGTAAACGTGTTTTGCTTTTTCTCTCAAAACGATTTTCAGCCTGACATATGCTACCCTCGCCGGGCTCTGACTTCCATAGGTTTATTGAGAATTAACAGAGTGGGGTCCGAGATCTACTGACGTCCTTTGGGTTTGCTTAGCGTTAAGTGGCTATAGGCCAGGGCTCACGCCTTAGGCTGGGTTCATACTGATTCCCATGTTCCGGAACTGTTCACGCACAGTTCCCGCACTGTGCTGGAACTGTTCCGAAACTGCGTTGCGTGCGCTGCAGCCGCCCCGAAAGCGCGTTTTTAACGGCGGGAGTTGGAGGATCTTGACCGTTCTCAACGGTTTTACTTCCAGATTTCTCTCATTCTGGCCTCATTCCTCTACGCCGCTCCCCTTTTTGATCAGCAAAACTTTAAACTTGAAGCGAAGTTGGAGAATGAGCGCTTTTCTGCTCTGCGTATGCGACAAAACGTGTGTTCTTGTGCTCGTCCATTTTCTCTCCGCTTTATTCTTACTCAAACTTGTTCCATTTGTTCCAGGAAATTGCTGCGTAGTTTCCATAGCTATCTGCCATGAATTAGGGAGTGCTCGAAATTCTGAAATTGCGTAAATTGAGACTTTTCTCTTGTTATCTGATAAGTTTCGTCTTTAAGCATTCTCAACCCCTTCCTTTTTTTCATATCGTTGCTTCTCCGTTCTTTCTGCTATCCCGCTTCTCCTTTTGATAAGAATAACTGCGAACTTGAAGCGGGGTTGAGGATTGAACGCTGTCTCTTCCATGTATCCGGCAAGATGGGCCTTCGTACACTCGTCCATTCTCTCTTCGCCATTTTTGTTCAGACTTAGTTCATTTGTTTTAGAGGCGCTGTGTAGTCTCGCATCTGTGTTGAAAGGGACATAGACAGGTCTCTAGAACACATGAAGTAGGCCTGAACAAAAATAAAAGAGTAAATGGACGAGCGCAAGAAGACCAATCTGCTCGGACACATGGAACAGAACAAGGTCATTTCTTCAATCCCGCTTCAATTTCACAGCTTTTCTCATCACAAGGAAAAGTGGGGTAGAAGAAAGAACGGACAAGCAACGATATGGGAAAAGGAAAGGAGCTGCGAATGCCCAAAATTCCCAATTTATGCAATTTCAGAATTCCTCGCACTCTCTAATTCATGGCTCTGGAAACTACGCAACTGCTCCCTGGAACGAATGGAATAGATTTTAGTAAAAATAAAGCGAAAAGAAAATAGACGAGCACAAGAGCACACGTTTTGTCGCGTACGCAGAGCGGAAAAGCGCTCATTCTTCAAGCCCGCTTCGAGTTCGAAGTTCTGCTGATCAAAAAGGGAAGCATGATGGAGGAATAAGGCCAAAATGAGAGAAATCTGGAAGAAAACGGCCAAAACTCTTCAACTCCCGCCGTCCAAAACGCGTGCGGGGCGGCTGCAGCGCATGCAGCACAGTTCCGAAACAGGGCCCGGCACAAATCGTCTGGTAGCAGGCTGGACTTCGTTCTAGAGCAGAAAGCAAAGAAGATATCGTTTTTGACAAGTCGGCGCTGAGCACCAAGAATAAGCGCTATTTAGTAGAACACGAGCTTTTCGGACAGGTTATCACACGATTGACACGCTCTATCGTGTATGGCGAAAAGTGCGCGCGATTTGAAAGCAAGGCCTAAATAAACAAATTTTGTTTACAGCGCACACAGAATCATATTACATCAAAATTGAACTGTATATATGGAAGATTATTTGCGAAAGAATTATGCAAAAAGATAATATGTGAAGTATTACCTTTTCCAAAATTTGATCTGAGATCGTCTGGAGCATATATTTCTGTCACTTCACATAAGCTTCGGATTTTTCTACCATGGACGGATCCTCCGGTCAAAAATCTATCCCTGAGCATGAAGACATTTTCATATCATTGCCTTTCCTTTGTTTTTAGTCTTAATTTTTTCGTAAATCGCTTTAATATCGCGCTCCGATGCAAAACTCTCGTGCATGCATAGTATTCATCTCCAATTTGGATTTCCACTCTCTCACGTTTTTTCTTACAGACTAGTAAATCTTTCTTGCTTTCACATTCTCCTAAGTAGGTAGGTCAAAGGGAACCTCGTAAAAATCCCGAAAGTCAGGAGAGTTTTCGTTTTCAGAAACCCTAGAAACCGACTCGTACCGGGCTCTGTTCCGGAACAGTTCCCGCACAGTGGGTGAACTGTTTCGGAACATGGGAATAAGTACGAACCCAGCCTAGACACCAACGCGCGGCGGGATCGAAACACTGGGTCCCCAAGCGCATTAGGCTTCTTAAAGGCGACGGTGGGCGCCCACGCGCTTGGGGACTCTGACGTATTTTTATCGATATCTGAAGGATCTTTTGACCAAAATATGATCTACTATATTGGGAAAAACACGATATTGGGCAGATGTTTTTGATGAAAAGGAACGCGTATAGTCATTCGCAACAACCGCTGAACCTTAATCACCGCTTACGCTAGTGATTAAGTTTTACGTAGCTTTTATCTCTTTTTGTTTTTATTTTGGTACCTTGAGTGTAAGGATTGAGAAATAAATAAGATAAAGAAGTTGGATATGTGATTAGATGTATACGCTGATTCAGGATAAAACGCGAGGAGGTGCATTTCCATGACATAAGTTACAGCTTCAGCACTTTTGAAATATGCACGCTAAGTTTCGGTTATTGCTCGGCGAATCAATGCGCCGGATTACATGATTAGTCTTGGAACAAATCCTGCTCATTTAAATTGTACTTTTCATTTGTTTTCTTGTTACATCCAGGGCCCGGCACGAGGTGGGCAAATGACAAGCTGGAAATCGTTTTGGGGCCAAAAAGCAATGGGGATATAGTTTTTGCGGGATCCGGGGCAGAGTCCCGGAAGAAGATTCCAAGTGCAAGCAAAAGAAGGTTGAATCATGCTTACCTTATACATCTAATTCATCGGAAAATAGTTTTCAGAAACCTCAACGCACAGCAGACTTCGCGCGCACTACGCCGCGTTGCCGCTAATTGCCGCGTGCGCGACGTCGCATGAGCGATGCCGTTGAACAGCATGATTACATGATCAGTTCTCAATGCAGGCGTAATGATATAGCACCAAATTACGTAAGCGAACAAAGAGAGGCTAGTAGAAACAAAGCATGAAATGTTATGAAAAACTTATGTGAATGGGAGGTGTAATAAGCATTTTTTCCAAAAATTTCGCCAAACTGGTAAGTGAAGATGTGAGTTCAAATGGCTCGTTTGCAGCGCACAGACGACCATACGGTATGAAACTTGGTAGGTACATGAACACGGGCCTGCAGGGCTTATCTTAGAAGTTTTATTAAAAAGTTATGTGAATAAAGGTTGTGGCAAGCTTTTTTTCTGAAAATTTCCCACTATCAAGAAAATGGAAAAATGGCTCGTTTGCAGCGCAGAGACGAAATCGCGCGAGACTTGGTGTGTATACGCGCAGTAGGACTAAGGAACAATCTATGAAAAATTATGAAGAAGTTATGTGAATGAAGAGCGTGCTTAACTTTTTTCCAAATTAGGTGGGCAATTGCCCACCTAATGCCCACCTGAGGTGGGCAAAACTTTCAGTTCACATAATTTTTTCAAAATTCTTACATAAATCTGTTGTTCACCTAAAGTTTGCTATATGGTGAGATTTTGGTCCCGAAACTCCTCCTCTTGTCTTTGTTAGAGCCCAAAATCAGCAGCCTAGCTTTCTAAGATGGAAAGCGCGCCCCAGTCAATCGATACGCGCGGGAACGGCGTCTCTCAGTCCTATGACTGCGTTCCTTTGATATTTTTTCATTTCTTCCATTTTCCTTGCTTATTCTTCTTCCTGTTTTCTATCTTGATACAGGTGAGGAGTAATTAGAGGAATTTGAGCATTTTGGGCGCTTTTGAGCGCTTTTGGGCGAAGTGTGGCCGGTGCTCTCGTTCCACAAGCACAAAGCGTCTGTAGGAAAAGCGCAACTATCTGCGCTATTGGTCCATCTTCCTCTTCGCAGCTGCTTCAAGTCCGAAGCTTCGCAGCTGCCTCAAGTCCGAACCTCTCGTGGGCGCGGCATATTGCTTTATATAGCCCCGAGGCGAGCTTTGAGGCGGGGCGAGGAAGGCGAGGAAGATGGACCAATAGCGCAGATAGTTGCGCTTTTCCTACATGATTTTCTTTCGGAAAGTCCCGGTCCCCGGGACTAGAAAAATTCTACAGGTGCATCTTGGCAAATTGCGGTAACGTGGCCAATGGCATTACAGCGGAAACACGTTGGGTTTTCTGTGCATTCTTTTAGTGGGTGTTTCTCGAGACAGCGAGGACAGAGCCTGTATTTTTGAAGGACTGCGGGCTCTTGTATGGAAAGGCATGGGTGATTGACAGTACCGCGTGAGATGAGTACTTTGGCTGCAGAGAAGGCATAGAGGTGTTGGGATTGGGTTGAAACAGCGTCGCTGAGTAGGTCCGCGATATTCGTGTTTTAACCTATAATAGTACTGGGGTTCATGTGGCTCTGGTCTGGGAGAGAGGCATAGTTTGATCAAGCTTGGGATGGCTCCAGGAGGTTTTTCCCAGTTGCGCGGTGGTGGAGTAGGAGTGCACAGTGACCTTCTGATAGGAGGTTTGGGTGTGGTGAGAAGTCTTCTACGGCGATAAAAGCTTTGAGAGGCTGGTTCTGGCATATGGATGGCTATGGTGGAAGGAGTGGTTCCTTGCGGAGGGGTTATGGTAGGGTGTAGGGCGATTCGCACGACCGTAATGCTTTCCATGCAGGACCACCGCCGCGCGCGAAACACCCTGCGGCGGCTTTTGCCTAAGCAAAACAGGGGGAGGAAAGATTTGCGGCGTGCATTACATGTTGAGACAAGTCAAAATCAGGGAGACGCTGGAGACCGTTCGTGCGAAAAGACCGTCTCCCGTTATGGTACGGTCAGGATCGTTAGCTTGGGAAGGAGTGATGCCTTCCGGAGGATTTGCGATATTGCCAGAAGGGTTTGTGATATTTCCGAAGTCGTTAATTTGGGAAGGGGATAAAACGGAATAGGATACAATCGAGTTCAATTCAGATATTATGGGTACAGCGAGAAGAGTTTCAGCAGAAGAAATGTCCCCTGGGGACGTTACCTTCAAGTTTATGGTGGTATCAAAAGGAGTAGGAGTAGGAGAACGGGGACGGGTTAAAGAAGGAGGAGAGGAAGAAGAAGAAGAAGAAGAAGAACGAGAGTACGATAGCACTGGTGAATGCTGTGTGTAACAAGAACTTGACGACGATGAGGAGCGGGATCTCTTGCGACTGAAGCGTTTGGAGACGATGGGAAGCATGTTGGTTGACATCTGAAATTGTTTCCCGGTTGAAATCCTCGATTTTGTACGTTTAAAATGTTTAACACGCTGTTTTGGACAGTAACGTGGCAGGGGGCGCTCTAATGTAGCGAGGGTACGACTTGAGCGTGGCGGGTGACGCCTTCGAAAATTATATGAGTGATGCAGGTTGGTTTTTTTTGCTTGTTGTTTTTTTCTTTTTCTTTTCTTGGCTTTGGTTTTGCTGAATTTTTTTTGAAGATTGTGTTTGTTTTTGTTTAGCATGCGCGCTCTCATTGGCCTTGATGGTGATGCCGATCTATCTGCTGGTGCGCGCATGCCGCAGTCGGGCTAAGGGAGAGAAGGTAGAGCCGGTTATGCCGGCTATTAGAGAAGATAGAGCCGGTATTTCCATTATCAGGGAACATATATATATAAATATGCGGGTATCGTTGGTGCTATTAGACTGTTATCTGTGAATAATTGCGATATATATATATATGTACTATTAGGTTCGTTATTTTTTTTAGTCTAGTATGTTTGATATTACGTATACATGAAGTTTTATTGGCTGGTAGTGATTTCGGGTGCGGGTTGATCCCGAACTATTGGGTATGACTATTGTGGACTTGTGCTTTCGATCAATGATGTTGCAGGAGAGTATGGTTTCAAACGATTCATGTATGGTTTGTAAGCGACGGCCATCTCGGATGGTGACGTTTGGCCGTTCAATATCCACAATGGGAAAAGGACCTTCGAATCTAAGTGCGAGTTTTGAGTCTACATCTTTTCTTATCAACACTTCTTGTCCAATTTTATAACTACCTGGGTTTACACGTTTTCTAAGGTCGTAGTGATGCTTCTGTATGCTCCGAATCTCCGCCCACCCCCCTTCTAATCATCACCCGTGCTCTATTTTAATTCGATCTCTTAATTATGTGTTTATCCCATATTATTCTCCTTTGGTATATTTGCTTCGTATTTAATCACTTTCGTTCTATCGCCGTGTTTATGTAAGGTTGGGCCGGAGCACTAGCTCCTGCTTGACTAATCTTCTTTCGCTCCCACTTGTCATTTATCCTATCTTCTACTTGAATATATCCATGCATCCATGCCGCCTTCCTATTCGCCGTCTGCAGCCATAAATCTTTATGTAATGTTCAGTTCCCTATTGCTTGATAAATGCTTGTAAGAAAGTCTTGAATTAATCTCAAATACCGGTTATGGGAAAATAGGAAGTAAGCGTTACTGGAAAAGTCCAGCTACGGTACCACTCTTAGCTTAACGACAACCTAAAATCATAAATTCGTTACACGTCATTTTTGAGCTCAAGGGAGTATTCGTAAAAACTATTGGGGAATTCGTTTTGAAAAACCCCGTCTGCCCACTTCGTGCCGGGCCCTGATCACATCTATGTGCTTTTACACTTCATGTTGCAGTTTCCAAAATGATAAACTATACAAGGGAACGGCCATAGGTTGTCGGTGTTGTCGGTGTTGTCGGGGTCAGAGACAGTTTAGAGAGCGCGCGAAACATGGAGTCTATCATGAGGTCCTACAGCGACCGGCATCCTCGGCAGCCCCGGCAACACCGACAACACCGACAACCTATGGCCGTTCCCTAACTTAAGCGTAAGCGAAACTCTACGTATAACTACCCACACGTGACGGAATAGGCATATGCGTCGATGTGTGTGTCAAAAACTGCGTGGAAACGATTAACACCGAAGCAATACAATTTATGAACATTTTATCTAGCTCAAAAATCAAACTTTTGGGCTTCCTGCTGAGTAGCTTCTGAAAGAAGTACTAATTTGTTCCGGCTGCATGGATAACAGGAGTCTTCTCTGAACATCAGTGCGTTAAGCTATTCAACTCGAAGTACTAGTAAACTAGGTGTGGATACGCACTGCGTATATAATTTACTGTAAGAAGGCTTTGATTGTGGAGGGGCTATGACAACACGGAAAATGTAAATTATGGAAAGGCTATGGTGTCTGAATTAACTCAACCAAATTTGGATAGAGTGGTAGTTATATCGTGATATGTTGGGACTGAGAGCTGCCGGCTATGTCAGCTAATGAAGAAATCAAATTGACTGTAATTGCGTAACGTAAGTATATTTATTAGGATACACAGCATTGCTCATGTTTAAGGTGTAGCTTCAGTATCGTTTGATCCTGCATTACTCGGAATCAGCAGCACATGAGGCAGTGTGTAACATTATCAGCAACACTAAATAATTATCACTGGCATAAAATAATGAAAGACAAAGGAAGTACCTGTCAGATGCCTTATTTGTTGACTGCATCGTCGCAAAAGTTTTCACCTTGTTTGGTCGATGAATTCTGAGCAGAGTGAAGACTTCAAATTGTATGGTGCGATTCAATACGAGGTAAACGATAGCAGGGAATCCTGAAGTGAGGTTACGGTAATCGTATAGCAAAATCAAATCATTTGTCTCTTTCTCATCGATGATGATATCACACATGAAGTGTACTAACAATTTATTAAAAGCTGAAATATGGTTTCTCGTTACTTACACTTCTTCATATCCCAGAGGAATGATGATTACCATCACTTTCCTTATTGACACCCCTGGTTTTCCCCACATTTCTTCGCGACAGATTGGACAGAAGCTGAACCTCGCCTAATGGACTCCTTTTTTTTTCAAAGGATCTCACAAAATGGCAGATTTTTTTCAAGGTTTATATACTTTATTTATTGGTATCAAAGTTGCACTGACATATTTCTCACACACTCTTCAGCTTTCTCACTATGAGGACTGTTGATGATTTCTGTATCATCAACCATTGATGAACTCTATATTCTGTATAGCCTACGGAATCCCCCGCAAGCGAAATGGTGAACTATTCACTCTTGAATCTAATCACTCAAGAGTGAGTGGTACCCATGCGCAGGAGTGTAGCCAGTCGGCGGCATCTCCTTTTGAGAACACTCATATACTTTGCACCTTGTATTCGGTTTGGCTTCGCCTTTATACGTATATAAGGAGTCTCCGAATGTATTAGAGGTTGCTCCCGGTACACACCGGGACACCTCGATATTAGCTGTCCAAATCTACGTCACGTGCCAATAAACTTATTCCACAACTACTCGTCTACTCTACCACTTGGTACACATCAAAAGGACCTTACCGTGTCCAAGTTGCCAGCAGATGTGACCGACAAGAACGAAGCTTGGAGGTGTGTAAAGGAACTGCATATAAACATAAATCAATGCAGCTATGAGGTTTGCCATGCAGATCGAGGAACATTGAAGGAAAAACTGAACTGAATTTGACGATCAGATTTCTAGTCGTGAAATTGCTCTCACCGATTTCTGTGTCCAAGTCAAACCACTTCCTATTTTGGAATAGCGTAGGAGAACGCGAGAATATTGCACATAAAGTAGACAAGTAAGTACGACAATGAATAAATTGTTTGCTGTATGAGGGTAGTTCAGAAACTGAAAATGATAAACAGGTAAAGGCTGTTAGCTGCCCATCAGAGAAGGAACAACGTGATATTAGTTCATTTCTCTATGTTAACGTTGATAAGCGATAGTTTTAACCTCTGATTTATTCTAAAATCAATTTTTACTAATTTTCTCCTTCCAATCCTCAAAAAATTTCCGTCAATTCGTTCTAGTTTCAGTGAAATTCCAGTAAAACTCACATGTCCAGCAATATCCGTCTTGTTTCGGGCAAACGTGAAGAAGAACCACGCCGACTCATTGGAATTGAATAGAAGAGGAGGTGTGAAGAAGACAAAATACAAACTGTACAGTATAGGAAGTAGCAGCACCGCATATGTTCGATTATCTTTGAAGAGCTAAAACAAGAGATTTTGTTTTCTGTCATATACTGCAAAAAACGCGCCGAATAGACAAGTTTCGTGCATGGTTGAGGGTCCCACTTTGCAAAAATTCAAAAAGAGATGTCCAAGAGTTGATAATCTGCATCTTTGAGGTTAAATTTTTGAAGGAAACCTGCCATTTGCAATAGTGCTTTATTCCATAGGTCCAGAAGACGATTTATGACCAAAACAAAGCAAATCATGCATGCTCCACACCATAGTCCTGAAAAAATGGATGCCCTACATAACCTGATTCGATTTTACAATAAGTGGATACTACGTTACCTACCAAGAGCTAAAGCCCCAGCAACAAACATGAATGTTGGGCTTGTACAGTAATTTCCACCAGTGAACCAAAAATATCCGGTCAAAAGAGAGTTGAGTGATAAAGCTGCCATGTCGTACAGCCCTAAAAGTCATTGTGCTTGCAGGGTAAAACCAAACTTGATGCAATCCAACCTAATACTATCATGATTTTGTAACAAGACAGTCGCCGATGCTGTTTTCTCACCATCACCATCAAGTCCAATACGTAGATGATCTGCAAAGACAACGTACACGAGCAACGAGATTTTGAGCATGAAATTATTCTGACCTCTGCAATAATTCCGTACGCAATAAATATCGTGCCCAGGACATAGTCTTTCCTTCCAGGGATTCTATCTTCTGGTCTGCAAGGACGAATCTTCGTTAAAAGAGGTAAAATCTGGAGTAAATTTCTATGCCACTGGAGCATCTACTGCAGCTAAGTTCGAATTTGCTGCTCATATGGATATCCCTCGCTTATGAAATGCAATTGGACTACCGAGACGCGATAAAGCATAATGAGTCGCTAGGATAGCATAGAAACATAGATCATAGCGCTATAAATTTCGATAGTAATTGGGCATCCTACATTCTTGTTCGTGATGCCAGTATCAACAACAAGGATGAGCAATTATTCACAAATGGAGATTAACGCCGCATTTAACATTTTGCAAACTATGAGATTGTCTGCTCTACTTGAGCAGTACATTAACATCATAATATCGCACCTGTAAGTATTGAGATGCACTCACGTCAGTTTTTTTTGTTTCAAATAGGTAAAAAGAATTTGTGGAGCGCAATACTTTATCTTTTCATGCAGCATAAAAAGCTGTGGATGTATGCCTTGTATGCCCCACAAGGAAGTTGCACATTATTACAGTAGCAGTTGGAGTGTGTTGCCTACTACACTTACACCTTGATCTCAAGTTTGCTTTCCTTATTTGTGAAGAATATTTCTTTTTTATCTGATTGCGTGTTTATCGAATTTTCTACTAGTTTGATATTCACGAACATGTCCGATTTCAAATGTTCAGCCTCGTTTGTTTTTTTCTACGCATGCCCATCCCCCGGGCAGTCCTTTATGTACTTTTTTGGCGCAGGGAATATTGTCAAAATTATATAAATTGACTGAAAAAGAAACTTTTCAGTCAATTTATATAATTTTGACAATATTCCCTGAAGGTTCCAGCCTTCCTTGCCAGTTACACTTTTGAGCAAAGCTCAAGTATGAGTACTTTGAAACATATATAACGTACCCGCAATCGTAGTCCGGAATTTTCTGCGCTCTGCCACCATTCGTAAGAAGCCATTCCATCTGAAGCAAAAAATGGAGTTCAATACATCAGAGTATTCCGGCAAGCAAAAACTACGACGAGCCCAATGAGCAAGTTAAAAAGGAAGAATCTCTTCTTTGGCGTGGCTCACGTTGTTAATGAGCTGAGCGAGAGGTACCAAAGATTTCCCCTTTTTCGCACTGTAATAGCACATGGGATAAAGTAGGTAAACGTTTCAGACACTATTCGATGCTTTCTGCCCCTTTTCAGTAGTGGTGCTTCTAACTGATTGCTCGGACATAGACTTCCTGTTTTCGACTAATAAAGCCCCAAATAAAATAATCATAAATCAAGTTTTTGAACGCACTCCAAGTTACACGAAAATCTCGAGATTTTATGTCTCAAATCATACGCTCATTTGCCTTGTAAAATGGTGTATTATAATCTACTTGTGGAAGTTACAAATTTTGGGAAGTTTTATTGGTTTTTGGCGAGATTGTGTCTGAGATAGGCCTACTAAAACGGGTTTATCTTAACAAAAACTCTATTATAAAGTTATAGCAAATTTCGGAAACGAAGAAAAATCGTTTCATATCCCACAGTGTTTGTTTTATCCATCGTTGCTTGGACTCTTTCGGCTGGATGGTATAGCTAATAAATGTTTGCGGAACTTGACCTCACTGGCCTACTTAGTCTACGACTTCTCCAGATCTTTGAAGAAAATGATTTTTAAAAGCGAATTTAGGTGTTCCTTATTACAGCTCAAAAAACGTCGCCTTGAAAGACTAATAAAAGAATGGGTCGTTGTCAAAGTGTTGAGGCATTAGACTGAAGGGATTTAATGATCAGTAGCAACAGACAGCCAATTACGGCATTTGAAATTGTTTTACTAACTCTTACTTTAGCACTTTCAAAAGTCCTATCTAAATGTGCCAACTTCAAATTTCCGTTAGTTGTGGGATACAGCACATCTCGTGAAAGTTTGTGCGAAAGCAATATAGAAAAATGATTTAGGCACTATCAAAGTTTAAAATTGGTTACAAGATTGCTAGCAGAAATAAAGTACAAGAGATTCTTGGTCATTACAAAAGGATGGCGGTTTTTCAAATTTCCGTTGATTATGACAAGATTGTCATCGGCATGATTACTCAATTTTCAAATCCAATACAGCCTGCAGAGGCATCACAGAAAAGAATATCATTGTTTGCAAGAAAAATTGAGATAGCCACAAAAAATTGCTTGCAAGAAAACATAGTTATGCGTTGTTTCAAAAGTTCTACTCGTTGAACTTCGACTTTGATTTACCGTAACTCTTCTCAGAAGTAATCTTTGCAATTGCTATAAAATGTGTTACAATCTGCAAATCTTTGGCTATTCTGCTTCGCCGTTGACAAACCAGGAAATCTTTTCGTTTTTCTAGTAGCAGATGTTCTAGCTCTAATCTTACTATATAGAGTAAAAGTTCCGCGATTGCAATATGTTTATGATTTTTATGCGACTTGAAGGGGCCATAAACACAGGTTATGTTTGAGCTAAAAATTTGTAGGTTCAAAATTTTCTGAAATCATATATCGATGAGCATTTCGTAGCACAAGTCTTCATCAAACATTATGTATGTTTTAAAGAAATTTTTTCTTTTGGCTGTATATTTCACGTCGATAGAGCAAAGGCGAACATTTTCACATTTGTTTCGCTGTATTTTCAAAGTACTCAACCGCAAAGCGGACAAAGATCTAGGAAAACGAAAATATGCCCGAAAAACAAGAAGAAAAGAGCTTTTGAATGATATAAGCATTGTTTATGAAAAATGGTTTCTTCCTCCAAAACCGGCAGTTGAAAAAAAGGTATGGAAAACGGGTAGAACTTTTTGAAACAACCCCAATACAAGGATTTTTTTTTGAAAATTCAAAAAAAGCAGTTGCTTCTATAATCAAAAACTAAGACATATTTTGAGTGTCATCAAACTATGGGAAGTTAATTGGCATATATGCCTACTGCGTTAGACAGCACTTTCTCAAAATAGTTGTGAAACGAGGATGTGAAAGTTTGCGACAATGATTATGGAGTTTGCCGCGGTAAAATAAGAAGTTCACATCTGTGAAAGCATCACTTTAGTTTTGATGCTGCTAATTATTACTGACTATTAGAGACTTTGACACGTTGCGTCTAACAACAAGAAGGTGTGGGCGCTCAAGAAGAAGATCAAATATCAGATTTTCTAGTTTCAACGTTCGCTGAAATTTGCATGCATTCGATTTCATGACATAGCTAAACTATATTTCTGAAGAATGAGTCTTATATCTTTGATCTACTAAACCAGGGATCACTTATGTTGAAAGATTCTACCGTAAAACGTTGTCCAAAAAAAGGTGGCCATCCCTCGAATTTGAACTGTGATTAAAAAACTCTGCAATAAGAATATTTGTGCTTTTTGATGTTATTAAATGCATCAGTGTACAAAAAAAAATCAGAAGAACTTACCAGGACGATTACAGAAACGTGCTGACGGTTCAGAAAAAATGTTTTGTGCACCCTGTAGAGCTGTTTTTGAATCTGCTTTCATAATCTGCTACGTTATTCTTCAGAACAGGAAGTTGACGGCCGTGCATTGCCATATCTTGCTTTAAAGTGGAAGAATTTTCAATCTAAAAGCACCATTATACTCATCTCGACGAGATGCGTCTTCTTATATATAAAGCTGAATGTCTGTTTGTATGTATGTCTGTCTGTCTGTCTGTACGTATGTTCCGAATAGAAAATTCCATTTCTGAACCGATCCGGACCAAACTTGGCCCACATACACTTCGGGCCCCGGCGGGTGTCAGGCTACTTTTCGTATCGATCGATATCGATTTTATCGATTTTTATCGATTTTTTTGCTGAGTTCACCTACGGGGCTGGGATTTGGCACAGGGGGGTAATCGAGCATGGGGATTCCGAATACAATATTGGTTTTCAGGATTATCGATTACTTTTATCGATTTTATCGATTTTTTTTGCAAAGTTTGAGCTAGGGGGCTGGGAGTTGGCACAGGGGGGTAATCGAGCATGGGGATTCCGAATACAATATTGGTTTTCAGGATTATCGATTACTTTTATCGATTTTATCGATTTTTTTGCAAAGTTTGAGCTACGGGGCTGGGAGTTCGCACAGGGGGGTAATCGAGCATGCTGATCATTCCCAAGGGGGGTGATCAGCATGCTCGATTACACCCCTGTGCCAAATTCCAGCCCCCTAGCTCAAATTTTCAAAAAATCGATAAAATCGATAAAAGTAATGGACGATCTTGAAAACTAATATTGTGTTCGTAATCTGCATGCTCGATTACCCGCTGTGCAAACTCCCAGCCCCGCAGGTCAAACTTTACAAAAAAATCGATAAAATCGATAAAAGTAATGGACGATCCTGAAAACTAATATTGTGTTCGTAATCGCATGCTCGATTACCCCCCTGTGCAAAATCCCAGCCTCGCATGTCAAAATTTACAAAAAATCGATAAAATCAATAAAAGTAATCGATAATTCTGAAAACTAATATTGTATTCGGAATCCCCATGCTCACTTCCCCCCTGTGCCAACTCCTAGCCCTGTAGGTGAACTCTGCAAAAAATTCGATAAAAATCGGTAAAATCGACATCGATCGATAACGAAAAGTGGACTGTGACACCCGCCGGGGCCCGAAGTGTATGTGTGCCAAGTTTGGTCCGGATACGGCGGAGCCGGGTAAGCCAGCTAGTTTCTTATATAGAAGTGCCCGTTTAGGCACGATAGCCGGTTGAATTTTATGGACCCTTCCAGATTCTTGCTTATTGTAGATCACTCAGAGTGTTTAATCACTGCACAACGATCGTCCTACCGTAGGCAAGTTTGTAAAGATCCTTGGCATTTTACCGACTAATGCGCCTAACAGGCAGTTTTGTACATCAGAAAATGCACCTCGTCGAGCTGAGTTGATTGATGTTTTCGGTTTCAAAATTTACTCTATGGCTAGATATGGCGGTGCAATGCGAAGTTTGGCGACCTCCGGCGAAGTGCCGGGGGGTTTTTTTTACAAAATATGACCGATATTGTAAATACGGTCAAAAAAATCACAGAATTGAGAGGAACAGTTTACATATCTTGAGCCAGAATTTTTACCAAAAAATCCTCAATAGGACTTTCGCGCAAGTAAAGCTGGCGAAAAAGCTTGCAAACTTATTCCAACTAATCTGATCATAGTCGATAAAAAACTAAACTTCTAGGCAGCTAACTTCCTACTTTTAAGAAAGTTTTCCATTAGTAAACTCAACTCGGTATTTTATGTAGACGATGTTACGTTGACATTCAAGTAATGCAACTTTTTTATATCTTTTGTCCTTCAGATGTGATGCTCTTATTTCCTGGTCTAAACAATATGATGTGAGCTACAAACGCAGCTATTTTCAGAATTCTGATACGGCTAAGAGTTACAGTATGTCACTTCGCAGAATCGGATGGAACATGGTCCAATAAAAGGGGTTATTGGACATGCTGATCGCGAAATAATGTACAAAAAACCCTTCATAACCATTTAGTTTCATAATGATATTCGTATTGCCTTTTAAAATGTTCTTCTGAAGTTAAAAATCTATGACATTTTACCTAACAGTTGAGTTAAATCATTTCAAGAAGTTATGAAGGGTTTTCTTGTATGAATGTAACAAAACTCAGTTGCAACCCATGATTTTTCCATGCCTGCTTCATGATGAGTTAAAGCGTGAGTGCGAAGGGTATACTGTCAGGGAAATAATTACTCGCCATATTGGAGATTTGAGAAAAATACTAGAATGTGCAGGATTGTGCCTTATAAATGAGCACAATATGAAGTGCAAAGACCATCCTTTTAAATACTGCAAAGATCTCGACCTTAATCGTAGGCATCTAGAACACAGTCAAAGTACCTGGCACTGAGTCACAGTAGTAAACCACGGATTAGAGATTGTGAGCCCCACACAGCCCTCGCTGCGGAAAGTGGGTAGCAAAGTATTAAGGCATACTCTTTGACTAGATTTCTTAACGTACT